GTTTGAACGACATGTTTCCTGGAAACGGTGTGCAACGGGTTTGACATGCATTTTCTCTTGTTTGGTGGGTGTGTCAAAAATGTCAGCCCAATCAGCAGCAACATGTATGTAAACCACACGGTATTAAAGAGACAGCTCGCACAATGTAATTAACATCAAAATAAATTCACAAGAGCAAGTATATTGTTTGCACATGTTTATTTACATTAAAGGCAAAAAATTAAATAATAAGGGCACAAGTATAGATATGGAACTTCTTTAAGTCTGTCTAAATATCATTTAGTAATTGCAATGTCTTCTGGTCCATATCCTTTCCTTAGGAAGGTGTGCTAAATACTGATTAATGTAACATAAAAAATACTATACATATTTATATATTTTGCTATTGTATTATGGAGTGACACTTTCATAAACTTTTCTATACCCCTCTGATTATATAATGGTAAATATTACAATATCATAGCACAACAACGGTGATCAGCAATATGGATAAGCCTAATACTCACAATAAAAATAATAAGGTCATATAGATCATAACACAGTCTTGGAGGTAAGAAGTGGATTATCCTTCACCTGAAATGTTTGTCTATTGGTCCTGAAATGTGAGGCAAATCTTGTATCACAATAATTAGGAACCACAGTTTGCACAAATCCCTTCATTTGATTGGGATATTCTCTTTTATTCTGGAGGGCAAGGGCAGTGACTGTACCGTCGAGTGTATTTTACAGTATTAAACACATATTTATACCGATTTCATCAGGCTCCGCAAATTCTTCAAAAAGAACACAAAGAATGGTCTTCTCAGCTGCCATAGCTGCTAGGGTGACCATGCGTGCCATTTCCCCAGGACGCGTCCTGGCCATTTTGATGTCATACACCGATCGGTCTGCACACGCAAACAAAGCCAAAACCTAGATATTTTAGGCAATATAGAAATCCTGGGGAAATGGCACGTATGGTCACCCTAATAGTTGCAACTCTTGCATCATCAGAACAGGGTGTTCAACGCACCACCGTTTCCGTTTAAAACACGTTTTGCACCGTTTCGTCGGGGCTGAACGCAGCCCTGGATCACTGAACTCGAGCTGTTTATCCGGGTTTATCCAGCAGATGCACAAAATGAGTGGCGCATGGGCCCTCCGGTGTCCTTCGACAGTATTACATCTGTAACATCAACACAACATGTAAGCGTTTTCCCTGTCTATCTTTCCTAAACCGAGACGCTAAAGAAGTTTCTATATACAATAAATCACTAACGTTTTTTTTTATTACAAAAAGCTGCCGTCAAAAACGGCAAACAAAAAGGTTACCAACGTGAATGCAAATTATTACAAATAACGTATATTGTTAGCTACTAGCAATTCCTTACAGTGAAGACTAACACGTCCGAACGCGTTCTGCGCTAAAAACGTCTGTGTGCGCAGAGAAATTCAGCCATGTCTAGCTCTCGGGATGCGCCTTTAAGGATTCCTCCTCTGGCTTTCCTGAACTGACCTCTTCCCTTTGAAACCACTTCCTCCCCTTCTCCCAATCGGCCATGTTTAATTTGACTCATTCATGAAAAGTTGTACACACAACAGTAAAGCCATGATCTCGAAAGCTACATAGTAAGGATGCACCGCCGCGTTGTTTGCACAGACTGAGCATTAATCAGCAGCAGTGGGAATAAAGAATAGCGCGTGAGGCATCGGCAGGTGGGCACGCGCACTTATCAAATTCACATCAGTGGCATAGAAAGAATAGCATTTAATACAACAATCATTCATAACGTTAGCCTGCTCGGTCCGTGACTGAGAAAGTTTAGTTCGTGGGAAATGATACGTCATGCATAATTTCTCCGAATTCAGTGTAGAAGGGGGGTGTTTTTTTTTTTTCAATGCATAATCTAAGTTTTGTATAATGTGATCGTTTTTGCTCTAAAGGCGCAGAGTATCAAAAGACTCTAAATCCTCGCACTGACTAGTTTCCTTAAAAAGTCCCTTTATATAAAATTCTCGCATTTTAACGTTTATAAACATGTCTAATGTAATAAACATTATTATATGTCTGCTAAACATAACACAGATGCTTCATGCTGTACCTTTGAAAACATTATTAAATGTAGTGTTGTTCTAGGAAATCATGAGGAAAAAGCAGAATGTGAAAAACAGGAAGGCAGAAGAGACGACGGTTGTCCAAGAGTTTGCGGTGGAAAAAATCATCCGCAGAAGAGTCAACGATGGAAAAGTCGAATACTATCTAAAGTGGAAAGGCTTCACAGAGTGAGCGTCTGGAACAAGTGTTGCCTGTGTGTCAGATATTTATATTATTAATATGTACCAGCATATGACATGTCTGTCGTACTCTCCACAGTGTAGAGAATACCTGGGAGCCAGAGGACAACATGGACTGTCCTGAGCTGATAGAGGAGTTTCTCAGAAACCTCACTGTCTCAGGAGAGACGGAACAAGAGGGGTGTCGAGCCCTAGACCATGAGGTCCAGTCCAAGCAAGAGTTAACTGAACTGGATGCCGATACGGTTAGTGTTTTTATATACTGTACATATGCTGTGCCATTCACTTTCACTTCTACAGGACTATTACTGCACTACAGTGTTCTAAAATAAGCATTTTATACCCCAAAAATACATTTAATTATGTTAGGTAACAAACTGCCAAATACTTGCCTTAATATGAATAACTGTCAGTGCATTGTATAGAGCAGTGGTTCCCAACCCTGGTCCTGGAGGCACCCCAACACTGCATGTTTTGCATGTCTCCTTAATCAAACACACCTGATTCAGGTCATCAGCTCATTAGTAGAGACTCCAAGACCTGAAACTGGTGCGTGAGAGAAAGGAGACATGCAAAATGTGCAGTGTTGGGGTGCCTCCAGGACCAGGGTTGGGAACCACTGGTATAGAGCAATGGGGACCAATCATGCTTCTGCAAGACCAGTTTCCACAGAGTTTAGCCCTAATTAAACACACCTAAACCAGCTAATCAAGGTCTTCAGGTTTGTTGGAGAAGGTGGAGCTAAACTCTACAGAAGGCTGGTCCTCCTGGAGCAGGATCGAACACCATTGGTACAGAGTTTCAGTCCTGTACACCCTCTCCAAAAACTGCAGGTTTATCGCTCTTGCTGTGTGATATATAATTCAGTCCTCTTGTCAGGCTTTATAGAGTTTAGTTGTGTGTCTGGAATTCATGCAGGCTCACCAGCAGCCTCAGGAGGAGCTCATTGAGAGGGGTAATGAAGAGGTTGATGATCACAGCGCTGAGATCCCAGCAGGCCAATCCAGCAACCCTGAACCAGACGGCATCATCGGATGCACAGACCAACAAGGAGAGCTCATGTTCCTCATCAAGTGGTAATATTTCTACACTGGACCATATGTGGAGATTCTTGTTATTTTACACTGCTTTGTCTAGTTTGAATGCAGTAATGATAATCTTTATTATTAAATTCTGTGATCAATGCATAGGGGGGGTTTTTTTCAGATCATGCATTTATACACACCTTAATGTTAACTTGGCTTTTATAGTCCACAACACAGGTGAGCTGTTTAAAATAGCAACAGCTGATTAATATAGCAGCACATTGTTGGCAGGTTCTGAAATTTCCACAATATCAGGGTTATTATAGTTCACTAAATCTAAAACCATAAAAACAATTTTCTTTACTTGAAATAAAATATTTTTAAAAACTTTATTTTTTAAGTTAGCTGCCAAAGCAACATTTGGCATTATCATTTAGTTTAACATGTAGTAAAATAACTAAAATTGAAATAAACCGTAATAAAAAAAAACTATGTAGACCTATAAAAATGACAAAAACACAACAAAGTTACTAAAACTAACTAAAATTAATAGGAAAACAGAATATAAAAAAATAATTAAAATGATCAAATAAACTATAATAGTATCTCAATAACACTAAAATAATACTATTATTGTTATTTTAGTATTATTTATATACTATTAAAATTATTTGTTAATAATGTAAATTTGCTTTTATTTTTTATATCTTAATTTTTTATTTTCTTTTATTATGTGTTTTTGTCTTTTTTTTTTTTTTTTTAAAGATGTTTGGTTTTATTTTAAATATTTCTATTTACTCTTAATTTATATATATGTGTGTTTCTATTCAATTAAATTTCAAATAATTTTTCATAGTTTTAGTTAACTAACAATACTGTACTGTTTTAATACTGGTGCCAAGGTATTCCTTTCCTTTCATGTTTATGCTCTTCTTCAACACATAAATGGAGAGAAAGATCAAAAGCAACCTCACAGCAAAAAAAGAGATAGTTTGTAATGCTGTTGCCATTAATCCACCACTGCAGCTGGTAATTATGTGCTTTGAATTTGCTGTATTTGTCCATTAAGACTGATCATTATTTCTTTATTTCATCTTAGGAAAAACACAGATGAGGTAGCTTTACTGTCAGCCGGCGAGACCAGTAAAAAGTGGCCCGAGATGGTAATTCGTTTTTACGAGGACAAGCTGACCTGGCATGGAGAAGACGAGCAGTGAGAGAGAAATATGTAGCAGTGGATACTACTGTACCTCCTGGCAGCTTTAAACATACACAAACACTGTGGCATAAGTTTACTGTTTGATGTACCATGTATTCAAAATGTGTGAATACACACTCTAATGTGAAGCTCTTCCCAACACACTAACCTGTAGAAATGTGACTGGAGTATTAGAGCTCTACTGTAGTGTACTGTTTATACAAGTCCACATAAGTTGTTCATTAATCAGATGTTGTTGTATCTCTTGGTCTATTGTTTGAAAGTCCATTTGTGATGTTCATCATTCTGTCCTCTTTGTTACTATGATCTGAACTGTGATTACACATAGGAGATGATGACAGCTGGTACAATAACTGCTCGAGAGGGACTGTTTGATGTGTAGATTACTATCCGTACTATTAACCCCCTGGTTACGCACTTCTTCAAGTTATACTGTGATGGATCTGCGAGTGGCGTAGTGTGGCTCATGCAGGTATAAATCTGTAGGTTTGCACAAAACTAATTCTAGAATGTAGCCCATACAATCACGTTTTTTTGTGCACATCAACACTTTTGTTGTAGGTCAGTATCACTTTCATAGCAGTAGTGCAAATAGACCATTGATGTTTTGTGATTAAAACCTTTACCCTGCAGTTTCGATCGTCTGGTTTCCTGTTTTCTGTAAAGATCACGGTTAACCTTAAAGCTCGAGTGAGCAAACTCTAGGTGCTTTAAATAAACATAAAATTGCCTCAGGAGTGTTTTGGTCATTCTTATGTTGAATTGCAGTCATCTTAAATCTAATTACTGTACCTTTAGTACATTACATTGTAGAAATGAGGCAACCTTTTTCTTGGTAGATTATCCTTTTAAATATCAAAATGTTCATGATTAGATTTTAAAATAAACAATCAGTGTTATTTTAGAATGAGATACTTTTTACAGTTTTTTTTTATTAAAATGAAATAAGAATTTTTATATTTATGTATTTATTTATTTACATTTTATTTCAGTAAACATTTCATGTAATGAACATTTTTTATGGTTTAAATTTTTTGGTAAATACAATAACCCTGTAACCTATCAGTAATATCAAGAGGTTTGAAAAGCTACAGGTCGGCTGTACATGAATAACTGTTTAAGTACTGCTAGTTGTTTCAAACATGCAGGCGTTATGATTATGGTACCCATTTTTTCCAGCTCCTTTTATTTTTATGACGGTGCTAGTCTGCCATGTCTCTGGTGGCTTTTAAAAATGAAGCACCGTTGTCAGTCAGAGACACAAAATGAGCTCAGTTGTTTTTCCCCAGTCTACAGTTCCCATGAATCAGCCCCAGTTGGTCAAGAAGACCAATGTCTCATGAAAATACTTCCTTTTTATTCTTCCCATTTTTAAAACCTTTGAGTACTGGCTGTGTCCTTGTCCAATGTGAGTTTGTGAGCGTATATACATAAGGTCTTTTCCACCGTTCTTGGGCTTATGCAGGAATTCACTGGCGTGTGTGTGAGGGATCCTTGCATCCAGAAAGAGGATTTCTGGCATGCCTACATGGATTATGAAATCTGTATACATGTAAGTGCAATCAGAACATATGATACACACAAAGTGGTCAAAACGGAGGGCAGAAACGTCCTGACCGTTCTTTGTATTTCATATTCACTCAGACAAACAGTTTGGCCTTCACTAAGAAGAGTTCCTGTGTGCGGCGGAGATACAGTGAATTTGTTTGGCTAAGAAAAAAGCTACAGGAAAATGCCATGCTCATGTATGTAACCATTGCATCCTGTTATTGTTATTTACTTTGTTCAGTAATTGTGTACGGATGGTTAATGGTCAATGGTGTAAAATATGTCCATGAAAATTGAAAATCAAATTTAAGGTTCTTAGACATAAGTATATCAATTTCATTGATATTCTTCATTATGCATTATAATAACTGGACAGTTATATCACCCTGACATTTTTTTTTATTTTGTCACAGAAATTGATCATGATCATCATATAGAAGGTGTACTGAAGTCATTGTACTTGTGTGAATTACATTTTATTGTATTTTTTAAAAACAAATGAAAATAAGCGTCACAGCATTGACCCAATTTGTATCCCAGCTAATATAAATACAAATAGGTAATTTATTGCTATTTACAAATTACTAATTGTTGCTAATTACCAGGGTTGTTTTAGTATTATTTATATACCATTTTAGTATTTATAAATATTGATTAATTTGGCTTTTTTTTCAGTTTTAATTTTATTCATTTTATTTGAGTAATTTTGTTGTAATTTTGATCAACCTAACTTATTTAATTTCAGTTAAAGTTTTTCATCTAATCATTTTTTTCTTTATTGGTCACACTTTTGTTTGGGGACCAATTCTCAATATTAACTAACTATTAACTTTAACTTTTGGCTCAATAAGCTCCTAATTACTGCTACAAATTCTTAATAGTTAAAGATAGTTCTAAGGTAGGTAGGATTAAGGGATGCATAATATGGTCAGGCTGAATAAGGCATTATTATGCGCTTCATAAGTACTAATAAACAACCAGTATGTTTACTAGTAGCAGCAATATGCATGCTAATAAGCAACTAGTTAATAGTGAGAATCGGTCCCCAGAGTGTTACCATTTTATGTTATTTTGGCTTTATTTTAATAAACAAAAACATATTTAAT